TAAAGTTGTTTAAATAAGTTAAATTAATTAATGTGGTTTAGTTGGTGGATTTAGTGTTGTATTAAGTGAAAGCTAAACTAGTTAAAGTTGTTAAGTTGTTTAAATAAGTTAAATTAATTAATGTGGTTTAGTTGGTGGATTTAGTGTTGTATTAAGTGAAAGCTAAACTAGTTAAAGTTGTTAAGTTGTTTAAATAAGTTAAATTAATTAATGTGGTTTAGTTGGTGGATTTAGTGTTGTATTAAGTGAAAGCTAAACTAGTTAAAGTTGTTAAGTTGTTTAAATAAGTTAAATTAATTAATGTGGTTTAGTTGGTGGATTTAGTGTTGTATTAAGTGAAAGCTAAACTAGTTAAAGTTGTTAAGTTGTTTAAATAAGTTAAATTAATTAATGTGGTTTAGTTGGTGGATTTAGTGTTGTATTAAGTGAAAGCTAAACTAGTTAAAGTTGTTAAGTTGTTTAAATAAGTTAAATTAATTAATGTGGTTTAGTTGGTGGATTTAGTGTTGTATTAAGTGAAAGCTAAACTAGTTAAAGTTGTTAAGTTGTTTAAATAAGTTAAATTAATTAATGTGGTTTAGTTGGTGGATTTAGTGTTGTATTAAGTCAAAACTAAACTAGTTAAAGTTGTTAAGTTGTTTAAATAAGTTAAATTAATTAATGTGGTTTAGTTGGTGGATTTAGTGTTGTATTAAGTCAAAACTAAACTAGTTAAAGTTGTTAAGTTGTTTAAATAAGTTAAATTAATTAATGTGGTTTAGTTGGTGGATTTAGTGTTGTATTAAGTCAAAACTAAACTAGTTAAAGTTGTTAAGTTGTTTAAATAAGTTAAATTAATTAATGTGGTTTAGTTGGTGGATTTAGTGTTGTTTTAAGTCAAAACTAAACTAGTTCAAGAGTTAAAGTTGTTTAAATATGTTAAATTAATTAATGTGGTTTAGTTGGTGGATTTAGTGTTGTATTAAGTGAAAGCTAAACTAGTTAAAGTTGTTTAGATAAGTTAAATTAATTAATGTAATTCAAACTTTTAAATAAATAATTAGTTGATTCATATATATATATATATATCATTATAAATTTCAGCTTTTATTTATAGGCAAAAGAATTGGGGTGCACTCCCTATTGAACCAGAGGTTTTTAAAAAACTCATGTCAGGAAGAAAGAAAATGAGTCGGATCCGGATGTGTGGGTGGAGGAAAGGGTCGAACGAACTTTTGTAAGTTATATAATATGAATAATATATATCAATAGTGAATATATTTATGATATGTATATATATTGATGTCAATACTTATATTTAATATGCAGAATGACTTTCATAAGTACGTCGCTGAATATCTGGATAGTTCGGTTCAATTGACACCTGAACTGTCCACTCAGATTTGAAAGAAAAAGTGGTAGGGGGGACACACAAGGGTAGATGCTATGGTCTAGGCTCTCGCAACGATGTTAGACGTCTTCAGTCAGACTTAGAAGGTATTGGATCGTCACGTCAAGTTGAGGCACTTGACGGTGTTCAGATTGTTGCTATATCGGATCAAATAGCTAAACTTACAGCGGCACTAGAAGAGTCGGAGCGGAAAAGAGTAGCTGAACAACAAAGCATGAGTGAGACCGTTCAGCAAATCAAAGAACAAGTCATGAACCTCGCTCGTCGACCTACTACTTCGGCTCCCGATGACACCGACGACGAGAGTGATGAGGATGATTATGTAGATCTCACTCCCTAGTTTAGATCCGTGATTTTGTCCGTCGTTTTTTTAAGTTTTTAAAAATAAAATTTCCAGAAAAGCGACGGACTGCGTCGACTCTTTATAAATTTAAAAAACTGAAAATTAAAATAAAGTGACGCAATCCGTCGCTTTTTTTTTAAAAAAATTCAAAAAAAAGAAGTAAAAAAGCGACTCAGTCCGTCTCTAAAAGCAACGCAGTCCGTCACTTTTCTGGGATTTTCAAAAAATAAATTTCCAGAAAAGCGACGGACTGCGTCGCTCTTTATAAATTTAAAAAACTGAAAATTAAAATAAAGTGACGCAATCCGTCGCTTTTTTTTAAAAAATTCAAAAAATAAAATAGTAAAAAAGCGACTCAGTCCATCGCTAAAAGAGACGCAGTCCGTCTCTAAAAGCGACGCAGTCCGTCCCTTTTTTAGCGACACAGTCCGTCGCTTTTTTGCGACGCAGTCCGTCACTTTTTGAAAACCGTCGAGCTAAAAAGCGACGGAAGTGCTTGCGTCGCTTTTCCGTCAATTTTGACCAAAAAAGTGACGCAGTCCGTCGCTTTTGGCCGTCTTTTTTTGACAATTTTTTAGTAGTGCTAATACTTGGATAAGTTTAAGGGGTTGATGTATAGTCAAGATGACAAGCTCTTATATGATTGGTAACTCAATAGGAATTCTATGCTCACTGCATAAAAAATAATCTTTAACGGCAATTAATTAACAACAATAGCTCAATTATCGTTAAATATGTATTTTTAGTGGTAATTAACACTCTTTGTATATGTTCCTAAAGTCTTTAGCGACATTGGATATAATGACACTTAATTAATGCCGGTAAAAATTTTATCACTCTTTATTAATGTGTCTATTTATGCAAAATGGTTCAATGGATCTTTGTACTTGTATGAGTTTGTAGTTTAGACCCTTCTGCTTTATCATTTGTCGACTAAACTCTTAAACTCAATTAAAATAAGACTTTTGAACCCTGTGTAGCTCACTCTCCCTAACATAAATGACATGTCATATCCACATCATATATGTTAATGCCATGTCATAATTATTTCATAACTTTTTTAAAATTATAAATAAAAATCACTCAAATAAAAGATGAAAATAATAAAATTTTCTATTTAAAAAATAAACAAAATAGTTATTTCTCTCACTTTTCCTCCACCTCCCTCAACCCACAACCACCAAAATGAAGAGAGAAAATGGAAACACAAAATAAAACAGAATCACTTTCCTTCTTCTTTGAACTTCAATTGAAAAGATAATTTGGGCAAGGTAAAAATTTATAAATGGCTACAACAGCGTAAATAGAGAATATAAAAACAAGAATTTTTTTCATTGATAATTTTAGCCTAACATACTTAAATTGGACAAATTCGACAGATTCCACTTCTTTAAAAAAAGCTCCCTTCGCATAATTCTTTTCTTCTTCGAAAAATGAAGCTTAGAAAGCCACAAGTTAAACCCAGATTTCAAAACTAATATAAATGGACAACGTTTTTTACTGTTGGATCTTATGATAGATTTTTATAGCTCGAAGAAGACAACCACACACAATCAAACCCAAATCTCAACAAAGAAATATAAGAAATATATGGACAGAATGGGTGGAGCAAGCCACCGGAGCAAAATCACCGCCGAAGCAAAATAATCACATAATCACCATGGAAGACCCATAGCCACCGGAGCAAAATTAGTCTTCTTGTTCAACATCTAAAACTTCCATTTCAATGGACAGAATGGACGGAGATGCCGAAAACGGAGTTGCAAGGACGCCGAGATCTATATCGTTTTTCTCAAAACGTCACCAGAAGCAAAGGGAGAAGAAAAGGAAGGGGTTGGAAACTTTAATTTGATTTTCCCTTTTTTTCCTTTTCATTATTTAATTATTTTTAAAGTAAATTCATTGCTTTCACTCACCTTTTTAAGTGTGGTACCACACAGTCAGCAAAATAAATGCCACATAAGTTAGGTCAACGGTGAGAGGGTTTAAAATTTTCATTTTAATTGAGTTTAAGATTTTCAATTAACAAAAAAATAAATAGAAGAGTCTAGAATACAAACTCATACAAATACAAGGGTCTATCAGATCAATTCGCCGTCTATTTATTGTCATTAAAAGTTGTTTTTGTTGTAGTGGCTAGTGAATATAATATGAATATGGTTACCATGTTAGGATTTCATTTAGAGCTAATTCCATGTAGAATGACATGTTAAACTAATACTTCTATTTATTGATATTGATATATTTGTGTAGATTGATGTTGTTGGAGGTATCCGTGTGTTGAAATTGGAACCTAACCTCCCTTGAAGCTATTTTCCACAATTATTTCTAAATGTTTTTCACTAACCAACTCATATTTTTATAAAATAATAAGAACATAACCTACATGGCATGAGGTTAATTTCACATTTTGTTACGTATTTACCACGCAATTATACATGAACTTAATTAGCATAACTAAACAAAAACTGTTTTGATGGGGCTTTACATATTTTTTGTGGAGAACTTAGCATAACTAAAAAAACACTAATAAAAAAAAAACAAAATTTGCAAAGATATCTTATGATAAAAAATTAAAGCAGTTTTGATTGAAATGAACAAAATAATTTTTTTAAGACAATAAGTGGAATTTCTTACTTATTTTATTGTATTTGATAGGTAGGCAAACCATATTATCCTAAAACACCCGTATATAATTTAGACAAATTCTACGATAGATGGAGATGGAGTATTAGAGCCGTGGGATGGTGGGGTTGAGGGCTGTGGGGGTGGGGTGAAGATGAGGTGGGTTGGAGTGAGGAAGAGACAATCAACGTGGATTGTCACAAATAGATCTTGTTTTTCTTGCTTTCATTAGGGAGCTCATTTTTTATGGAGTATATCATTTTAAAAAGTTTATTTTTCTAGAGAATGTGTTTTCAAATCAAACATGAGAAAATTGAAAAACTGTGATACTCCTCTTCTTGATGAGGACTTATTACACGGAACATTCTCTACAGTACCATTAAAGACCATTGAAGTTTGGTTGGGATTTTTTGATTGCCGTAATTATGATCTCTACAGTACCATTAAACACCTTGAGGAGGTTTTGAGCTAATTTTTTATTGAAAACTCGAGTTAAAGACGACTTCATTCGTGCATCCTCCATGTATATATATACTAGATGGAAGAGGCCCGTGGCTAGTCAAATTAATATTGAAGCGGCTATGCAGTTATTATGCTTCTGAAAATAGTAATATTAATATTAATGAAGGGTCACGACTTCTGGAAAAGATGATTAATATCATATACTATTAGAAATATTCAGAATATGTACAACATACACCAGTATGGTGTCTACTTGAACGACCTACAAATACTAACTAATGTTATACACCCAAAAAATATAGCAGATGTTTCAATTTTGACATATAAGATGACTATGTAAAGGACGTTGGAGTTCGCTTCTTAGCAGCTAATCTTCTGCATTCAAAAATCATAGCATAGGGAGCTGTTGTGGTTCCTGAGAATTGTGTAATGTTAGTAAATTCACAAAGTTGAGGTGGTTGATGATGGAAGTGAAACTGTTTGAAAAGTGACATATGACACAAAAATATGGTATAAAATATTACCTGAAAAGCTAAATAATGAAGGCATCCTAAAAAGCTAAATAACCAATTCATTTCATTTTCCCTATTGAGCGAACTTGTATCGACTGAGGATCCAAAAACTTATCTTCTTCATTAAGCAAAAGTCACAAAAGAAAGTAAGGGACTTCCTGACAGTGTAAAGTCTATCAGAAACTTAAAATATAAAATACATTTTCGATTGTATTAGCAAACATTTGTTTATGTATATATCATGTCTAAATGTCTAGTTATTGACAGTAAAAGTTGAGAATCAATAGGTGCTTTCTATCTTGACTTCTAAATTTAATTAAGAATACATCCATGATGATATATTGATATCCAGTTGTAGAAGTACACAACTTTTTGCTCGACAACTCTCCACTTGCATTTACATTGCATGGATATACACTACTTGTTAGAATATAGAAAGACAGTCCAGTGAACTAAGCTATCGATACGGAGTATGAAAAAACGATGAATCATAAGACATAGCAACACATAGCAAAACAATTTATTCTTCCTTGGCATATTTCCCAACAGTGGAATTGCTACAGCTAAAAACTGAATAACCATATGCAGCATATAAGACATTTCCCAGAGAAATCATAACTTAATATTATTATTCAGAAAGAGATATAAAGCATGGGATAAAAAATTAAAATATGAAGTGAAAAAAATGTATTGGCAGAATAAACTAATTGGGCTGCAAATGCTTCCAATTGTATCCAATTTTTGGATTGTATTTATGTATGTCTTTTGGCTGGAAGTTGTGTTGCTTTATGGTGATTTTCATAGGAATTCTTGATGTTTATATAACGTATTTTTTGTAGTTTGAATAACTTACAGAAAAATTTATTCCAAAAATAAATGTGAAAGTCAGATGTAGACTGACCTTTTACACCTTCTTTGTTGGTGTGGGTGGTTCAAATTTCGGCTTCACACTTGAAGAACCTCCCAAAGGCCTGATCTTATTGGAATTCCTGTCAAGTGCTGGCGGAAGAGTCTGTTCCATTTCCACGTAGGAAAGAATGGACAAAGTTGTATGTGTGTTATTTGTGCTGCTCCAAGATGACTTCCTTAGCTGAATTTGAAATAGTTTGTTTGACAACATCTCATGGACATGATTAACAGACAATAATTGCCTTTGTAAATGTAAAGAGTCAAGAGAAACATTTTAGAAATAAGCATATATGCTAAACTGTTTCTGATCAAGATATATGGTGTTGCGACAATAGACGTGTAGAAGTAGCCACCAGGAAAAACATGCAAAATATTAATCATATTTGTAAATGAGAGATCACCTTAACGCAAGTTATGCCAAATATGTCTTCCGCCGTCATGGAGAGTAATTTTTCTCCCAATTCACCAGAGATAGATGATGTGGCTGTAGCAGTACCATCAATAAGATCAATTTGAAAGATACACATGAAATCATGACAAGTTTAATATTTGTGTAGAATATATGCTATATTTTGTACAAACTATAATTTACAAGTCAAAAGTACAGTACCGAGGCACTAATGTTGTCTTCCGATTACATTTTGGACATTCAAAATCCTTTCTAGTTAGAATGATTTTAGAAGATGAATTATCGGAACTGTGCTATGAAGATTTTTTTAAAGGTAAGCTTTGATGCGAGGAAAGTTAGTCTATAAAGACAAACTAATTCTCTCTTCTGCCTATCGCTTTATCTAAGCTCTAACTATAGCTATAGATATTCAGAAGACACCGCGCTATATATAAATTTAGTTGGAATTGAAATATTTCATAGAAGAAAGATAAAAATATGGTTAGGTAACCTTCTCGAGGAGATAACGAAGAAGTGTTAATTGTAAGAGCGTAGTACTATATGATTGATGAAGGAGTTTTTGTCTTTTTGATTCAGCCCTTTTTTTCTTAGATGGGATAAAAATAATTGCTTTCTCTCGGGTGACATCTGTGCATATCTAGTACGACGACGTAAATTTATGTCAGAAGTTCTTTCTTGGATAGACACAATATCTCTATTTTCTTCCATTCCTGTTTCAAGTAGTTCATGCTTTGTTAAATTAATTTATAGGTTAATGTCATCATACAACTTGCACAAAAAAATGCAAACAATAGTAAATGACTGTAACAGGACAACCACTGGGATCAAATGGCATACATTTGAGACAGATCAATGTAGCATTCACTGCCGCACCTTAAGAGGCAATATTTGATGTCAAAATTAATGGAAAACAACATGCATGCAAAATTAAAAGACAATCATGGAAATAAGACAAAGAAAAGCAGAAGTTGGCTCTTCTACAAAAAAAAAAGTGCAGACAATAGTAAATGACTGTAACAGGACAACCACTGGGATCAAATTGCATACATTTGAGACATCAATGTACATCATTTTATCGAAGCGGAGAATCGAGATAACCAAAAGATAAAATCAATTCAAGAAAAAAAAACACAGGTTAAGCAAAGAAAAGTAAAAAATGGCTTGTTCAAACATGATAAAATTACTTGCAATTTTCAAAATAAAGACATTTATGAGAAGAGGAACATACCATAGTAAAGAGATGAAGCTACATTATTGTTGTGTGTCAATTGAAGGTAAAAGATGAGGACACCTGCAAATCATCAGGAACCAAGTTTTATGCACTTCTTAAATCTTAGAAAAATTTAAATTCCAAGTGGACAATCAAGAATAAAGAAAAATTCAACAATGTTGATATTTCTAAATACCATATTTGCAACATACACAAATGAAATAGAATGAAAGGATCTAATATTTGTTGGACATGTATTTTTAAAGTTAGGATTTATGAGGTCAAATAAAAATTAGAGCAACGACAGAGAAATGCTTTAGACTGAACATGGATCACGCCTTATACTATAGCAATCCTGTCTTATTTTATCTCTTACTTCATAGTTCATACACATTTTGTTGTTGTTATAGTAAACCTATTGTGATAAGAAAACCCTCTCGTAAAAGTATTTGAACAATATTTTCGGTAATATTAGTAGATGCTATTCGAACCACCCTTTTTCGATCCATATCAGCATTTCGTATAGAAGTTATTATCTCAGCAATAGTGTCCCTGCCCATGATGAACTAAAATTATTGGGGTCTCCAAATTTGATATAATCAACGTGTTTTTTACTTATTTATTTTTGAATATGATATGAATTATTAAAGATATATGCGTGAGACACAATCTACTAATTAGTTGATTTAGGCATATTGTCAAATACCTTCCGTTCATCAAAGTGCAAATCTAATGCAGTTACCAACATGCATGTGAAAATAAACAGTAAAAATATTGATATCACCAGAATTTCATTAACAGTAATCGGATGCATTAAAAAGCAAAAATAGATAAAAACTAATTGAATCTTGAAAAAAAATGGATAATTCGGAAGAAAGCCTAATCAACACTTTGAAGCTAGATATCCAGAGAATTTTTGGAAAACCAATAATATATAAGCACGACAGATGTACAGTATCCTGTCGCTTTTAAGTTTGTGAAAACTAATTGTGTCATACATTTCTTCTATCACTACAAATTATTTCGCTAATCTTAAATTCTATCTACACCTAAAACAATCAAAGGGAAACAACTTTCAAGATAAAAAGCAAATTATCCTTAAATTCAATGACATGCATACCTAAATATCCAGAGAAGAATGAAAATAGCCACCATCATAGGCCCTTTCTCAAGAGTTGGACACATTAGGAAGAGAAATTGGGAAAAAGGGAGAAGAAAAACTTATTGTAGCTAATGAATACATCAATAGGGAAGAGAAATTTGAGGCGAAAAAAAGATTAATCCAGATGAATATGGCAGATTCTTGACCGGAGAAGAGTCTCAGAGCATATGTTAAGGAGAATGTTGATGTAAACAATGAAGAGGTAAAATCGATACACATAAAAGTAACAGTAAAATTACCTATGTGCCCTTATTCATCCTTTAGAAGTCCCTAAAACTATTAACTCGAACCGATTTTCGGTTTATTGGGCTCACAGGTCGGGATATTGGGTAATTGGTTCAGGGGTCGAGTTGGGAAGGAAAAATCTCGGGGTACCCGATACCCCGATAAGACCCACTATTTTTTTCCCTAATTTATAATTTCACAATTCTCATTTCTCAGTTAGGGACTTAGGTACTTAGGGTTTTTAATTTTTAGGACTTGAAAACTCTTCTCGACTCCTCGCCGCTCCTCTCGTTTTTCCAAATTCCAAACTCCAAAGTTTCTCCAATTTCCAAACTCAGGCGAGGCGACGACTTGACTCCAGTCACTCAGGCGTCCGGCGAGGCGACGACTACTCCAGTCAGTCAGGCGAGGACGCAACTCGCAAGGTAACAACTAACGATGACACCTTAAGCCTGCAATTTTTTTATTCGTTCCATTTATCATCATGCATGTCTATTTTCATGATTCAAACGAAGGAACAAAATATTTACTTGTTAGTCGAGCTTCAGTTACTCGTTTGTTGTCGGACTGAGATATGAATTCAATGCATTTGTGTACTATATTCTGGTCTAATGGATGATTTTTGCGATGGTGGAGTTCATTTGTAGCAGCCTATTCTGCATTGGTGTTAAAATTTCCTCCTTTAAATGTCATTTGTTGGTTGTCTAATAGGTGAACAAGCTCAAATTTCAGAAGTTAGAAGCTCGACTGCTCGAGACTAGACTTATAGTCTTACTTTTCTCAATTCTCATGACTTCTGCACAGACCTACTCGGCTCTCCAGTCTTAGGTTCTTAGTCGCTCATTGCTCACACCTTACAAGTAAGTCTCAAAATTTTAAATTCACTTAATTTCAAGATTTCATTATGAAGTGTGATGTTTGGCATTACTGTTTTATTTGAATTGGCATTTGGTTTGTTTGGCACTTTGGTTCATTTGCTTATACTAGTCTTTTAGTTGCTGCTTTGTGTGATACTGTGATGTGTCTATTGTCATGACTCGTGTGTGTAAAATCTGATTTTACTTAGCCAACTGATTGTACTTTGTAGTTCTTGCTTTAATAAACTAATTATTCTTTGTTTAGTTCCTTCAAGGCTTCAACAGTTCATTGCTTCATCGACCTCTTATAAAAAATAGTTCAATAAACGATTATTTTATATCTTTTCGCAGTTTTTGGTGAAAGTATCATGGCTGAAAATATAATAATTGATAAGGTTTTTGGTGAAAGTGGAGCTTCTAATTCAAATGCAATAGGTCAAAGCCAAACTGTTAAGTCCCAAGTAAAGATAGGAAGGAAAAAAGATCTCGTGCGTGGGATCATTTTTCTAGTAACACTGATTCTGATGGAAGTGAAAAGGGTGTTTGCAACTACTGTAAGAGAGAGTATTTTGTTGACACAAAAGAACATGGCACGACGTCAATGCTTACTCATATAGACAAATGCCCAAAGATGCCTTATAATATTGATATTAAACAATCAAGATTAACATTTCAACCAATGATAGGGGGTAACAAGGGTGATGTAGTTGTTGTTCCATGGAAATTTGACCAGGAAGGGTGTAGAAAGGTCTTGTGTCGTATGATAATTATTGATGAACTTCCTTTCAGATTTGTTGAAAAAGAAGGTTTTAAAAAATTTATGAAAGTAGTACAACCTTGTTTCCACATTCCTTCCCGTACCATTGTGACTCATGATTGTTTTGATCTTTTTGATGAAGAAAAACATAAGTTGATGGTTGTTTTTAAGGAAACACAACAAAGGGTGTCTTTAACCAAGGATACTTGGACTTCCATTCAAAAAATCAATTATATGGTCATTACTGCTCATTGGATTGATAAAAATTGAACTTTGCATAAACGAATTATCAATTTTGTCCAATCTCTAGTCATAGAGGTGAAGATCTTGGAAAGTCTATTAGTAAGTGCTTACATGAGTGGGGATTGCATCGAATTTTTACTGTTACAGTTGATAATGCTGGTTCAAAGAGTGTGGCAATAACTGAGTTGTCTAAGCAATTAACTAAATGGGGGACCAACCTAATGGGTGGTAGTCACCTTCATATAAGGTGTATGACTCATATTGTAAATCTTATTGTTCAAGACGGTACAAAAGAAGCAAATATGTGTATTGAACGAGTTAGGCAAGCAGTGAGATACATCAGGCAATCTCCTGCTAGGTGGAAAAGTTTCAAGAATGTTGTGAAGATGAAAATCTTGCTAAAAGTCTTTATGCTTGGATGTTCCTACAAGGTGGAATTCCACCTACATGATGTTAAATCGGGTTATTGGATATGAAGGTGCAATTGTAGAGTACGCCGATCGTGATATTGGCTTTGCACTACATCTTAAGTTTGTTGATATTGTGGATAACAATTTTGCAGGTACACCTTTGAGTAGTGATTGGGAGGGCGTAAAGAGAATTACAAAATTTCTTGAAATGTTTTTTAATCTTACTTTGAAGATATCTGGATCACGATATGTTAAATCAAATCTTCATTTTCTTGAAATTTGTCAAGATGGTGTTTACTTGAATCCATTGATATCAAATGAAGATCATGTTTTGGCTAAAATGGCAGAAAATATGAAGGAGAAATTTGACAAATATTGGGGTGATACTGAAAAAATGAATAAGATGGTTTTCATACCATGTGCTTTGGATCCTCGTCACAAATTTAGCACTCTTGGCTTTACACTTAAGAAGATGTTTGGAGAAAAGGGGGCTGTTGTAGAAATTGGTGTGCGAATGTACATGCAATCTTTGTTTAATGAGTATACAATGCCTATTTGGATAAAAATGGCCAATCTTCTTCAACCGAGGTGGATACTTCTGATTCAAGGTCTCTAGGAGGCTTGAGAATTTTTTTTAAGGAATTATAAAAACATACATCTGAAAAGGGAGGAGCAAGTTCAAAGTCAGAATTAGTTTAATATCTTGATGAAGAAATTGAAGTTGGAAAATCAAATTTTGATGTATTGCTTTGGTGGAAAGTTAACTCACCTAGATTTCCACTTCTTTCTGAGATGGCTCGAGATGTGTTGGCTATTCTTGTTTCAAGTGTGGTGTCTGAATGTGCTTTTAGTACTGGAGGGCGCATATTTGATTCATTTAGGAGTTCATTAACTCCTAAATTGGTACAACCTCTAGTGTGCCTTCAAGATTGGCTTCGGAGTGAGTCACAACCCATAAGTATTGATGAAGATTTAGATTTTCTTGAGCAACTTGAAGAAGGTAAGAAAAGAACCTCATTGATGTAAAATTGTGAATAGTTTATTTAATATTTTTATTGTTTAAGCCTTAAGCCTTGACTTGTTATCGTATTTCTCTTTAGATTTGGCTAAACTTGGAAAAGAACTTTGCATTGATGACATGTAAAATTGGAGGTTTCCTTCACTAACTCTACTAAAGGAGAAGGAAGGTAGATGTCTTACTATTGAGGTGGATTTTTTTATACATGTGTTATCTTGTCTTTATGTCTGATTTATGATTGACTTCTCTTTTGTTTTCTGATGACTAATGAGTGTGTTAAATTATGGTTAATACAAATACTTGTGCAAAACAAGCTCCCCGTAGAACTTGGTGTTCTTCATCAGTTTATCTTGACTTTTCTTTCATTTTTAGCCATCAAAATATCTAATACTTTCTCTGTTTCTTTGTCAATCAGATTTCATCATGCCTCAACTTCATGGTTCTAATGTTCGATCACCTGTTTGGAATCACTATGAAAAGCTTAAAGAAAAAAAAGATGGATCGTGGACAGTAAAATGTGTTCATTGTGGCCGTGTTACTTATTACCATTCACACAAAACTAGGACTGCCTCCTTAAGGAAGCATGTTAAGCGTTGTTTGGAAAACAGGAACCAGAATCGTCAACTTTCAAGGATTGATGACTAGTTATTATTTTGTGTACTTGAATGTGAACTTTTAGTACTATGTTTGGACTTCATTTTCAGGTTGTGTGACTGCTATTTTGAATTTTTGAAATTCGGTTTGTGCCTGTGTGGGATGTGGCAGACTGGCAGTGCCTTTATGTTGTGCTGCATTTTGACTTCTGCAATGTTGCTGGCTTGCAACTTGTAGTGCTGCTGTTTTATTCCGTTAATTTAATATAATATTTCATATTTGTGTTGAAAAGTTTATGAAAGTGTTGTTGTGTTGAGTGCTGAGAGTTTGGTGTTGCTGGCGCCTGGCTATGAGTTGCTGGCTTGTTGTTGTGTTGACTGTTGAGTATTTGGTGTTGTTGAATTGTTGTGTTGTGTTGAGAGTTGGGTGACGGCAATTGGCAAGGGCCTTATAGGTGTTGTTGTTGTGTTGACTGTTGAGAATTTGGAAATTATGGTGAGTTTGTAGTTGGTATTACTAAGAATTGATTTACAAAATAGGTCGTAACTATAAATGATTTCATTTATATATAATACTTTTATTACCATATTTGTTTTTAATATTCTTTAACTTTTTACAGTTGTAGTACTACTTTGCAGTTTGCGCCTTGGTGACAGCCTTTAAAAAGAAAATGTTTTGCCTCTATTTCGTTCGTGTTTCTAGTTTTCTGATTGAAATTGCAGTCTGTAGTAAATAATTACATGGAGTTGATTAGTTTAATTATATTGTCTTCAATTTTTCATATAATTTTTTATTTTAAAAAATTGTGTGATATATTAACGGTTAACCCGATAATCGAACCAATAAGGATCGATAACCGATTAACTGATAACTCATTGGTTCTTTAACGATTTAGCTAGTCTATAAACCGATAACCGATAAGCAAAACCGATAATGTTCAAAACCGAACTGCACCGACCGATATGCAACCCTACCTAAAACTAATAGTAAAATTACATAGTTGCCCTTGTTAGTCCTTTAGAAGTGTCACTTTTAAATAAGATCATTGTATATCCTTATGTATATCTTCGTATCTCCTATATATCACGTATATCCACTATTTCCATCTATGGTTCGTAGACCCTTCTCGTAGGGACCCATTTTTCAAAATGTTTCACCAATGGATACCTTACCCCATCCTACGGGTCGTAGGAACTTCTATAGACCGTCCTGGTGATTTGTAGGAAAAGTTTAGAAACTATTACTCTTGAGAAAACTGATTCACGATCATTGATGGCATCCTGTATATCATACTATTACTCTTGAGAAAAGTGTTCAAAAGTATTGATGGTATATCTAGATGTTATGCATGTCATGTATCTTACTATTATAAGTTGAAGCTCCTGATATCTTCCTAGGGATCGAAGTACTGCCTTACAAAGATGGTCTTTGTCTAAGTCAAGCCAAATATGCAAAGGACATTTTTAATAAGACAATATTGATGATGCGCCATTCACACTTGTACATCACAAAAAAATGATTTTGACTATAGGAGCACTCCAATTCTCTCTTTGATATGTCTTGATCTAACACATGCTGTCAATTTATGCAGACTCCAACGACTTTACATTGGCAAGGAGTAAAACTTATATTACGATATACCTATCAACTTTGGCATGCGCACGACGTCCAACTCTTCCTTGAAAGTTGTTGGATTCTTTTATGCAGATTGGGAAAGGTGTTCTATTACTCGGAGGTCCACTACGGGTGTGTTTGGTATGAAGGAAAATGTTTTCTTGGAAAACAAGTGGATTTCTAACTTATTTTCTCATGTTTGGTAGGGGAAGGTGGTGGCCTTGTTTGGGGGGGGGGGTGGGG